GGGCCCAGCAGGAGAGCTCACACGCAGCTGTCAGACAGAGGGGCTGGGGCTGGCGTCAGTGAAGCCCCAGAGCCACTTAGCACCAGGCTCCTAACAGCCCGGGGGCTCACAGCCCTGGCCCCTGCCCCGGGCCTGCAGGGCCCCTGGCACTTCCTACCCGGTGTGTCACAGTCCCCACAGCACAGCCTCAGCCCGCAGGGTGCCCTGGAAACTGGGCAAGATTTTATTTACTGCCCAGAGCGCACCAGCCTGGCCTCCCCCTGGCAAGACCCCGAGTTCCCCATGCCCATCATGCAGGCATCAGCCCATTCCTGGCAGTGCGGGGGCTGGAGCGGCCGAGGGTCCATCCTGGAGGCCAGGGAATCACAGGCGCCTCTTATTTGGTCCGGGTCTCGCTCTCAAACCAGCTCTGCACCGCGGCCTTGTTCTCCTCCACCCACTTGATGTTGGCGCGGGTCTGCTCCAGCGCCTGCTCCAGCGCCCGCGTGCCCGACCCAAACCCGATGTCCTGGTTGTCCTCCTTGAACTGCTCCAGCTGCCAGGCAGAGACAGGGCTGCAGCAGGCAGGGCAGATCCCAGCAGCACTGCACACCCCCCAGAACACCCCTGGGAGCGCTCCAGCACCACCCCAGCACCTCTCAGCTGCTCCCTGGCAGGACCCCTACAGCCCCCAGGAGCACCCCAATGGCCTCTGTGAGCCCTCAGCAGCCCCCAACATCATCCTGACAGCCCCAGTAGCACCCTGAGAGCCCCCAGCACCATCTCAGCAGCCTCCAGGAGCACCCCAACAGCCTCCAGCAGCCCACACAGCACCCCAACAGCCCCCAGGAGCACTCTGACAGCCCTTGGGCATCCCTGCCACCACCCCAGCAGGCACCCAGCAGCCTGTGACAGGGACAGAAGCCTCTTGGACACCTGGGCTCACAAGGGGCAGGAAATCTCCTCTCAAGGGCTGCTGGCAAAGGGCAGCTCTGCCAAGGCTGGGGTCCCTGGTCCCCCAGCACCTGCTGGGGTCCAGCCTCACCTGTTGCAGCTCAAACTCTGTGGAGAAGCGCTGGGTCACAGATAAAATCAGGCGGGAGAAGGAGAAGGAGCCGCCGCCATACCTGGGAGAGCAGAAGTGTGCTGAGCCAGGGGGAGGGGACAGGGGAAGGGACAGTGCCACCCCCAAGGGGCACGGGCAGGCAGACAGGGGTGCCCCAGCCCCTGCGGTGCTCACTGGGTGAAGAGCGTCCTCCAGTTGGCACGGATGAAGTCCCAGGCCAGGGACTGCCCCACGACGTTGCTGGCAATGCTGTTGATGGTGGAGGTGGCATCCTGCTTCCGGATCTTTGTAGGGTCGAGGGTGTACTGCAGGTACCTGGAGGGGCACGATGAGGGGCTCAGGGGCTGGCAGGGGCAGCGGACACGCCGAGGGTGATGGGGTGATGGGGACACAGCGCGGGGCCAGCCAGACCCCACACGCACCGGCTGAGGATCCAGGGGTCGGGGCTGCAGGCGAGGGCTGTGCGGAGCTTGTCGGCCTCAGACACCACAGGGGCCTCCTGGAACTTCGCCCATAGGAACTGCCAGGCATCCTCCCCGCCCGTGGCCACCATGCTGCAGTAGATGGCTGAGCGCAGGTTCGGCGGGACCCTGTTGGGGTGAGAGCCGTGGGTGCCAGGAGCCCCTCGCCGTGCCCATCCCCACCCCACACACAGCACCGCGGCTTCCCAGCACTCACGGGTTGCTGTTGTTGTTGTTCTGCCACTGGCGCAAGTAGTTGGCAGCCAAATTCTGGCAATCGGTGACACCGTAGGAGCAGGCGGTGCTGATGGCATTGGCCTCGTTGTACCTGGGGGAGAGAGGCCGTGAGGGCTGGGGTCTGGCACAGGGCACCCACCGGCCACTGCTGGCACGAGGCAGGGCTGTGCCCCCTACCCAGCGCAGCCAGGGAGACCCCAGGGACCCAGCCCAGCCCCAGGGCCACGGTACTCACTGGACCATCAGCAAGTCATCACTGAGGGGAATGGTCCAGTTACTGGTGCGTGACTTGTAGTACTCAAAGAGAGGGGTCACCTGCTTTTTCATGTATGCCTGGGGGCAAGAGGGGGTCAGTGCCCAGTGACACTGGCAGCAGCACCCACACTGCTGTGGGGGCAATCCTGGCCCCTCACGCCCAGCACGGGGGGCTGGCACCACTCACCGACATGGCCCCAAAGACCTCGCTGCGGTCAAACATCAGCTTGAAGTACTTGAGGTTGGTGAGTGCTGCCTGCCAGGGCATGTATTCCCTCTCCTGGCTCAGGAACCGTGTCGTGCTCAGAGCCAAGGTCACGTTCACGTACTTGGCCCTGTCAGGGGTGAGGGCAGCGTCACCTCCCCAGCCTCACTGGCACTGCCCACCCCAGGGCACACACCCCATCCAGCCCCTCACCCCAGTGGCACCCAGACCACCAGGCAGGGCTCACCTGGCCAGGTTAAAGGCGTCATCAATGATCTGGGCACGGTTGATCACAGGGAAGACCTGAGAGAGCAAAGTCAGTGTCTCAGGGCAGCCAGAGCGGGGTGATGTGAATGGGGTCCCACCCCACAGCCCTGAGCGCCCCGTGTACCGAGTGGTCAGTGTCAAGCTGCTTGACGAGCTGATTCCAGTTCTCCTGGTTGTAATTGACACGGAAGTACCCAGTGACATTGAGGTTCAGCAGGAGCCAGTCGGGGCTCGTGAGCTTGAAGTCGTTGTTGGTGTCTGGGAAGGGAACAGGAGGCTGTGCCAGAGCTGCACCCGCACTCGCCAGGGAGGGCCAGGCTCAGCCCCCAGCACCACTGCCTCCCTGGGAACCCTGCCCAGTGCCGTGGCAGTGGAGGCGGCAGCAGGACCCCCACTCACGGCCAGGACATGCCATACCTGTGTCTTTGGTCAGCCAGGTGGTGTTCTCGCGGCCACTGCCTGTCATCCAGGTGATGGGGACGATCCAGGTGTAGCTGTGCCATGGACAGACAGGTGGTGGGACTGGCCCTCATCCCCTGAGCCCTCAGTTCCCAGCCAGCCCTGCCACACTCACTTGAAGACAGAGGGTCTGTCCACAGAAGATGTGGGGTCCAGCAGGAAATGGGCCTGGCGGATGGTGCCGGTGCTGGTGTCGACAGTGACCACAGGGAAGCCCATCTGCAGCGTCCAGCGGTCCATGATGTTGCTGATAGTGTCAGGCAGCTGGACCTCGTTCCTGTCCACCGCCTGCGGGGATGGCAGCACCGCTGGTCACCAGGGCCAGGGGCACAGCCAGCGTGGGGCACGGCCAGCGTGGGGCACGGCCAGCGCTGCAACCCTCACCCAGCATGTGGGACCCCATCACACCTGGCAGCCCCCCGGAGCCAGGGCCGGGGATGCTGCAGGAGCACCAGCCCCCTCCTACCTGCTGCAGATGGACCCAGAGGTCAGAGTAGATGGTGTTGCTGTAGGAGAAGTTGTGGAGGTAGGACTGTGGGAGAGCACCAGGAGAGACGGGTGAGCAAGGGCAAGTCTGGGGTGTGGGACCCCCCTAGAGCAGCCAGGCAGGTCTCTACCACGGGATGCCCACCCTGCACTGGGCTCACTGCCCCCCAGTACCAGCAGCACCTCACCTGCAACCCCTCCTTGAAGATGTCCTCGCTAAGGAAGCTCGAGAGCATCCGCAGCACCGATGCTCCCTGCAGGGACAGCAGGTCAGAGAAGCCAGGGGCACCCCAGAGTGCATCCCCACCCCAGAGCCCCCGTGCACACCTTGCTGTAGGCGATGCTGTCGAAGACTTCGCTGATCTGGGCTGGGGTGTTGATCTCGTCCTCGCGGAAGGAGAGCGGGTGGGAGCTGGCCAGGGCGTCGGTGGCCATCACGGTATGCAGCTCGTTCAGCACCATCAGGTCTTTCTGCAGAGGGGGCACC